TCCTGTAATTTGAAAGAGAAGTCTGAGCTTGTGTTTGTGTCACCGTCTCTGCGTAGAATAACAGTAGCAACAAGAAACCTGTGGGGCTCATGTGCGCCCCCGTCAGTGCGGCAGAGGTTATGCTGCCTCCCCTGGGCCTCCCCTGCTGCTTTTTTCATTGCCGTTATATGATGAGACCAGCGAGCCTAAATATCATATATACGTGAAATAAGTTATTTAGAGACTATGGATGGCGAGGATAAATGTAATAAAGGGATCTACAAACATTACATTGGTGACATACAGTGAGATGGTAACAGGCATGCGCTGAGTGCCCGCGCTCCAGCCAGTTTCTGTGGGGTGACGCATTCTGAGGTGAGGCAGAGCTCATCTGTGCCTCACCTCACCCCAAATTAACTGGCTTGAGCGCGCTCACAAAATAAGTGCCCGCGTTAAATTAGTGTCCGCGCTCCAGCAAATTACTATGGGCTTACGAGAGGCTGAACTCGTCCCTGCCTCACTTCTCATCGCTACCCGTAGTTGTATCGGAGCTCGGCAAATTTGCTGATTTTGACTTTAAAAAGCGATTGGAATCATACATAAAGCACATTTACAACACAGATCAGTGGAGACATTTTATTATTATTACTATTTAGTTTTTCTTTAGTTGTTTTTCCGTTACATTGGAGTATGACAGGTGAGGCTCTGCCTCCCCTGCCTCCCCTGACCGTACATCGCTGCTGTAGAGTGAAAATGGAACGCACACGCTATTTGTTGTTTGTTTATATCACGCAGTCTGTTCTTCTCTCGGTTATCACACAGTCTGTCTTCCAGTTGTTGCCTCTTTTGAATGACGAATACACACTACCGCCGCCTGCTGGTAAGGAGAGTTATTGCCTTTCACACATGCGCAGTTCGTACGTGCAACTTAGCCGTCGGCTGAAGTCTTTGCGGTTTGTTCCAGTGCGAAACATGGCCAATTCGCAGGAGACGTGAGGCGACCCACGGAACGTAGCCACAGATAGTAAAATATACACTTATATGGGTATTTTGGATGTTTTTTTGCCCATTTGTCCAAATGAAGACATTTTATGGAAGCAAAGCCAAAACTTTCAAAACTAACCATGCATAAAAAATTTTTTTTTTGCCATAGTGTTTCGCCTTTGAACTGTGAACACAGAATATATATTTTGGGAAGAATTACACATTTTTGGAGGAGTGGTATTGTGTGTGCAGGGCACGAGCCAATCAAATCACCCCCAACCTCCATTACTGGTAAAGACCAATCAGACATGTTTTTAGTTCCTCCACCCTTCCTGTGTGTGCATGTGTGTGAGATGTGGATATCAGGTAGCTCTACGGCTGCCATGTGGAGGGGAGGTGGGCTGGATGTTTGGATGGAGGGAGTGCTGATGGAGGAGAGGCTGAAGTATGTGTGGAGGATTTGGGGGGTGCAGAAAAAAAAACAAGAAACAGCTGGTCTCCCTTAGTCTTTGGCTTCATGTAAAAGGGGGAAGAGGAGTTGGAGAGGGGGGGTCACTGAGCAAACTGTTGCATGGACTGGATTGCAATGGATTAGCAATGAACATGTGCTTATATTTGTGAAATATTTATATTTTTGCTTTAGTTGCGTAAACACACACATTTCTATCCACTTCCTTTCCTAATACTTTTATATTTCATGGACATTGGCTGCCCCTACCCAGGGTCCTTGCACAGATCATTACAGTTTTAGCTCATCCGATGTTATGTCTCCCCATTGAGCTGTTGTCATTTTTATTCTGAGAAGACCTCCACACAGCCGTTAAACATCCTCCCTGGGTTGGCCCAATGAGAGTCCCCCATTGCCGGACCTTTGGATGAGACCCACTGGTCAGCCAAACAAATAAACAGACAGATAAACCGAAAAAAATTCCCATAATGAGTGATGTAATGAGAACGTTGAGATAACATGGCTAAACTACTGGCTTGTTCTCAACTTTTCTGGTCATTGAACCTCCTCGTTGTTGGACATGCAATGTCATGTGAATGCAATGTTTTCATTAATGACCAAAATGAATGCCGGAGCTTTTAACTCAGATACTGGCTAGTCTCCAGTATTTTTAGTAAGGCTAACATTGGTCCAAATCAAACCCATACATCATCCGGACCCCCATCACAGCCCCTTGCTGTGGGTGTGATAATACATGTCTGACTTTACAACTACCAATTTGATATTCCCTTTTTGAGGCTATTTCATTTGATTAATTTCCGAAGAGTGAAAGCTGCTAACACAAATTTCATATGGAAAATATCATTAATCACACATCTGCGTAGCTTTAAAGATCCTTGTTTTCACACTCCATGAATCATTTTGCTACTCCTATGGGGATTGTGAACCCCTGATTGAAAACCGCCCTGTTAGTGGAGAGAGGAAGTAACTGAAGGATGGAGAAAATAAATGGCCGTGTTGCGAGGTTCTTGGACTCGGAGCAGGGACAGAGAATTGTGGAGCGACCCCTCACCCGTCACAAATCATATAGAGTGTGAGTTCGGTCCATTAGTGGTCAGTTTGTGGCCATAACTCAGGGTTCAGCCTGTACATCACTTATTTTTACTCCACCAGACCCCCGCACCATTCCCCTCCTACCTCTCAATTCTGCCCCACACTCAACCCTATAATTTAGGTGAAAGATTCAGCGGCTGTTTTTTTTATTGAATTCCCAATAACGCCGCTGTGATTACCGTTAAGTGCAGGCGACTGGTGCTCTTGCGGGAGCCGTTCTGGGGCCAGTGGGATGCTGAGTCGGGTGCCAGGGTGGGAGGTAGGGAGGTCATTGGCTGTTTTTCTTTTTACACAGCGCATGGGAAAACACGGGGCAACAATCATCACATTTATAGATGGCTCGCCACCCTCTCCGGGGCCAGACGCTGCCAGGTTTAAAGCCAGCCAGCGGGCTACTGGCCACTAATAAAAGTATTTCATCCACAGGGAGTTGTAAAGTTAGTCTATAATACACAGAGATATGTGTGCATGAGAGAGGGAAACCGAATGTGTGTGAAAAAGTACCAAAGAGTTGTAAATACAAATTCAATGTGTCTGGATCGTTAATTCTCCATTCTAATGAGACTATTTCTGTATCCATGCATTGTGTTGAAGCTCTTCAGTTAAGCATGAAGACTGTCATGACTCAAACCTTCGCCATTAATGTCTTCATGACCTCTTTTCTGAATTTTCAATGAATCACATCCACTAATTTGTTCCGCAACAGTTGTGTTTTTGTTGCCGTTGCCGGGCAACGGGTCTATGATTAGCGATTATGAATGGAGTCCTATTTGGCCCGTTTCAAGGCCGACACAGTGACGTCAAACACAGAGCTGTTATTCATCCTTACACTCAATCAGAAGCATATCAGACTTACAATCTAACGTGTGTATG